GTATCATGAGGTCATAACAAGTTCCTGGTGTTCAAGTGGTTTTGCTTTCACTTGGGAAAAATACTAGACTGTACTGTTTTTCCTTCCTTCTCAGTTATCTTCGAAATGTTGGTTCTTCCCCTCGTCTCCCTTAAAATTGTTCTCTATGCACTTCTTTATATATTCATTTGTTTCTCAAGCTTCATTTATTGTCTCTTTGTGGATAATTCCCAAATATAACTCTTGCACTAGATCTACATCCATATTTCCAATGAAAACCTTTACTTGAGTATTCAAATTGAACACGTCGAAAATACTTACTGATTTCGTTATTGGCCACTATTCTGGTTAGTTGATAAAATCTATAATTTTGTCTCTGGAATGTTCATAGTTTCCAACCTCCACTTCACTCTTACTACCCTAATTTAGACCTTTTATTTCCCATCTGGATAATTGTTTTCTCTTATGTGACTATAGTGTTTTTATGTTTTTAGTTGTAAGTAATAAAAATTAATTTTAATTAAAAAAAAAAGAAATCATATTCATTTCTAACTTAAAATCATGTCTCTTCTGACAATAATCTATAGCCAGCTAATTACTTTTTCATGTTTTCAAATGATTCCATTGTCTTGTTTTTCCTGTGTGCTAAGATTGATTACTACACAGAGCGCTGAACAACATTTTCTAATTCTGTAAATAACTCTTTAATAACATTTAAAAAATTGATTGCAAAATTATTGCATGTTTTTTGTAGACAGTTTAGAAAGATAGAGAAGAAACAATTAAAATTTTTTTAAAGTCATTTCAAATCTTACTACCCAAAGAGTCGTAATCAGTATATCGTGCTTCAGAAAATTGTTGTGGAAAATATTGTCACACATCTTTTAGTTTTTAATTGATAGTTCAATAACCCATCTGCTCATTTAGAAGACAAGTTGGTCCAGAATTGGGTCCTCTCTCCATTGACACGAGCGGAAAAGTAAGGACAAGGGTGTTTTATCTGGAGGCCCAGGGAGTGAATCTGGCCTCGGAAATCTTCAGTTTGCCTCCCATTAGTTGGTCTGCAATGGTTTACATTTGAATTATCTTACAAAATTTCATACCAGGAAAATTTCATATAGGGATCAAAATGTTCATCTTCGTTTGAATAATCAGGATATCTGGTAGGTCCAGGCAAGATTGTAACAGGGAAAGAATTCCTAGAGCTGGTAGTCTTCACATGCTTTAGACAAAGCTCTGCTTTGCTGCTTCCTCAGTTTATTAGTTACTGAGGCCCTCAACCAGGTATCAAATATGCTGGAAAACACTAGGAAATAATGAAAGCTTTTCCCAAAGACTGATCATCCTCAGTTTCATGGCTCCGTGAGCTCTTCATTTAAAGACTAGGCTGCAAGGTGTTCTTCCACCGAGGCCCAGACAGTGAGAAATTACTCCAAAATCAAGTAAAAAACTTAGAAAAAAATAACACAGAAAACGTTCTGTACCTGGTAGAAAATCAGCATGTCCATTTTACAGTAACCTCATTAACACATACTGGTATAGGGGAAAGAAAATGAGGCGTGATCCTCAAACGGGCTTCATAAAAGTATCAGAATATCTTTTAAATAATGATTTAAAAATTTATGGACAGCAATTCTTTCATCTTATCCTTTTTATGTTGGGAGGGTCATCTTTTGTGAGTCAAAACAAGTACATTTTTTTGTGTGAGAATGTTGGTGTTGGTGTAGACTCAAATGAGTGAGTGTGTACATGTTTATTATCTGTTTATTTATCCTGACACAAATAGCTCATACACTTCCTCATTTCTTATATTCACACTGAAATATGAGTAGATTAATTGACATAATGCATTTATCCATCTTTTTTATGTGTTCACTAGAGAAAAAGTCTACTCTACCGAGACAGATTCAATTAATTAAGTCACTCTTCCTTTATATTGTACATTATTCTGTTTAGGCAGCATAACCATCCTATTGATATTTTGCCCATGGATGACCTCTTTCAAAGCTAATTCCTACTCAGTTGTACTCTGTAAGTAAATCAAAAGACGGAGTGTAATATGAACAATTTATCTTTTTTAAGGATCCAGAATATCAATGTAAAGGAAAAATAAAACTGACATGAAGTTCATAATGTTATAAGAACATTTAATCCATGATATCTATTTATTTAATAGATTTATGCTTGACATCCATTTCCCTGACAAGCATCATAAGGATATTTTTCTAAAGATATCCCAAATAGATTTAGATCTTATTACTAAAGAGCTAAAAAATAAAGATTCTGTATAAATCACATACAAAAAGATTATTATTAGTAGTAATTGCACCTGAGGATTTGGCTGGAAATTTGCTAATTTATTAAGTATAAATGCAACCCAAGAAAATGACTGGAAATTTTTTGTATAAATTATAGAGTTGCTCTTTAGTATTTTCTAAGACATCTACGATCAACTCTAAATAATGAGATATCTATTTTAAATTGTTAATATTTAATAAAATTAAGTGTTTTAAACTCTTTCAAAATCATTTTAAAATTATATATATCCATAGGGGTTGAATCTATCAGTTAATATATAGCTATAATATGCTATGCAAGTCAGCATTAGAACTCAATTGCAATGGATATCCATATCCTTGTTGAGTCAAGCTTTTGCCAACAGTCTCCCAACTTCTTTGATTTTTTTTTTTTTTTGGTGAGGAAGATCAGCCCTGAACTAACATCCGTGCTAATTCTCCTCCTTTTGCTGAGGAAGACCGGCTCTGAGCTAACATCTATTACCAATCCTCCTCCTTTTTTCCCCAAAGCCCCAGTAGATAGTTGTATGTCATAGTTGTGCATCCTTCTAGTT